TTCCCCCTTTTTTTCTGGTTAAGACTCAATGTCAAGTTCGTCGGCGCACAGGGTCTCTGTTCGAGAGCCCACCGTGGAGCTCCCCCTCGACAATTTTTCCAAATGTTGAGCATGACGGTGGCCCAACACGCGCCTGCGATTAGAGGGTGAGATGGGGTTGGAGGTCACACGGAAGGTAGGTCGGAGGTTGTTTGGCGCAGCGCATGTGCAACATATCTTTTGTTTGCGAAGTACAGAAAGACGGATCCGTTGAATTAGAAGTAACGAGAAAGTCTCGGATCGAGGGCCTCCATTGGACAATCCCCGTCGGCACCCTCTGCCAGCGTAAAGGATGACCGTGCAGGAGTCTTAAATACCAAGGCAACTTCAGTAGTGTCCAGAGTTCTTGTAATCGACAGTGCTAAGACGGGATAAATGTATAAACGCAGCGTGCTATTGATACGTTCCGGGGATTCCGGGATTTCTAACAGCCTTCGCGCGGGGCGCACTTCGCGCCGAATGTTGTCTACTCTGGCTGGCGCCGCTGGTCGGTCACCCATTCGCAATCGAATGGTCGCCCGTAACGGGCTATTTGGCACCTGCTGATCCCCCTTCTCGTTGCCGAGCGCGGGGGGGACGTTGGCGCACCGTCCCATCGCCCGCCGCCGCGCACCGCGCGCCTCGGCGGATTTCCAAAAATCTGGTAAGGCAAATCGCGCGCGACTCTGGACAATTCTCCGGGGGTAAATTTGAAAAAATCCGGGGGCGTTTTTGAAAACGGCGGGCCAACTATTTTAAAAATGCCGTAGTCGAATTTGAAAAGATCCGGGGTCGATTTTGAAACAGTCTGGGATCAATTTTGAAAAATTCGGGATTCCAGAATTCTTCAGATGTCCTGCGCGGCGGGCGCAGTCCACCCCTCAAAACTGTTTGTTGAAAATTGCCAGGCTCCTTTTTGAAAAATTCCGGAACCGCTTGCGCCAACAAATAAACGGAAGCGCTCTCCGAAAACATTCTCCAATCCAGAAATGATTTCCAGGCGGTTCGACGGGCGCGGCCGGCTGATTCACGCACCGCGCCGCGCGCGATTGGGCGCAGCGCGCGCCGCGCGTTGCGCCCGCGAAAAGCACTCGAAAGGGTTGCCTCGAAAACAGCGCCACGGCAGCTGCGACTCGCGGACTCCCCAAGAGCAACACAGCATGCAGCTTGGAATCTCCGAGGGCGCTCCGATGCGCGAAAAATGCACCGCGCACATCATGCAAAGAGCCTGCGCGACGGAATGCGCTCGACCATCTGTCCCTGGAGCCCGCGCGGAAGAACAGGAAAACCTGAAAATCTTGAAAATTATCAGTATCAATACTTCATGCTCGTTTGAAATGCGGAAGGGATCTGAGCTCATCATCCCGCCCCCCTTTTTCCCTTCGCCACGCAGGCCCCCTTTGTGTAATGGTTGCCCCCGATCCAAGACAACTCGAGCTCCTGTTCCGTCAGGCCGAAAGGGTAGCGGGAAGGAAACCTGCGTGAAGGCCTTGCATCTCCATCCCCACCGTTTCCTCTTTCGGCATGGTCTTTCCTCCTCGGCGCATCTCCCCACCTCCTTTTCTAGCTGAGACTCCCAATTCCAAGAAAATGGAGAAGGAGGGTCTCTGTTCGAGGAACCTCCGTGGAGCTCCCCCTTGACACTCTCCAGGCTTTCAGCGACGAGCCCGGACCGAGATGCGCGAGCTAATGGAGGCAAATGCAACAGGCGAATGTGCTACTGATCTTTGCCTTTTTGGCCTGACGGGTATCTGCTCGAGGGTCCCCGAATCACCACTGGGCTCTCCCTCGGCACCCGCTGTAAGCAACGAATGATACTAAGCAAATTTCCGGCTACGACTCCATTGTGTGATTGGGGTCGGGTGTTGCTTTATTCTCGAAAATCCTCCTCATCCTCCCCCCTCCTCCACTCCTCTGCCTTCGGTGTTCTCGTACGGTCCAGGATGTCCAAACGGTTGTCTGCAAACGGGGCGCTTCCCTCACTGAAAATGCATCCTTGTAGCAGCCCGTGAAGAGGGAATTTGCAGGAAGGGGTCATTACAACATCTCTCCCTCCCTGCCTTCCTGCTCTGGGCTCAGGGCTCGATGCTCCTCCTCCTCCTCCTGCTCCTCCTCCTCCTGCTGCTCCTCCTCCACCTCACCCTCTTACTCCCTTCCTCCCTCCTCCCTCCTCGGGGCTCAGGACCTCCTCCTCCTCCTCCTCCTCTCCCTTCCCTCCTCCTCTCTCTTCCCTCCTCCTCCTCTCATCTTTCCTCCTCCTCTCCTACCTCCTCCTCTCTACTCATATCCCCCTCCCCCTCGCCCCTCTCTCCCAAACCTCATCTCTCCCGACTCCTCCCTCCCCACCTCATCCTCCTCCTCCTCCTCTCCTTCCTTCCCCTTCTATTTTTTTTTCCTCCTCCTCCTCCTCCTCCTCCTCCTCACCTTTCTCCTTCACATCCACCTCCCCACCCTCCCTATTTCCCTCCTCCTCCTCTTCCCCTCCCTCCCCTCCTCCCTCTTTACTCCCTACCTCTATCTCTCCTCCTCCCCTCCCTTTTCGTCCGCCTCCCGCCTCCCTCCCTCCCTCCCTCCCTCCCTCCCTCCCTCTTCGGAACTGAAGACCTCCCGAGGCGTGTGGGCGCGCCGCGACAGCGCGCCTGCGTCGACTGCGGCAGCTGCCGCGCCAGCTGCGAGGGCTGCGCCCAGGGCGCCTCTGCGCAGGCAGCGACCAACGGGCGCCCGCGCGCCGCAGGGAGAGCACAGGACATCAACGGGCTCGATATACATGGGGGGTTTCTGAGATCCAGGGGCTCTGCAGGAGGCGCTCAAGAATGCTCTGAGAACGTCCGGGAACGCTCTGGGACGACTTGTCCTGACACTGCCCCCGCCCGAAATAGGAGCCCTACAGAAGACGCGCCCAGCCATGTACATAAACACGGCCCCTAGGCTCCACGACGCCAGCCTCGTGCTACCAACATTCGCGCAATGCGTTCTTCCGAAAACCACGACAAATCATGTACGCATGAATGTGTTTTCCCCCCCGATCCAACTCCCCCACCCCCGCCCGCACGATGGGAAGAGCTCGCCTCGACTCCTCGAGGCTTCCACGCTGTGCAACTGGGACGGGCGTAGACAATACCGATGACGCGCCGCCGTGGGGGACCCAGCAGCGTGTTGCTCGTGATAAGACACCAGACCACTCGAACATTTTTGAAGGGGCCCTGGGACACACAAATAAATACACACAAATAAAAATATCCCCATATTTTCCCATGTTTTCTGGGTCTTTGTCTTCCCCCCACTTCCCATATTTTCCCATGTTTTCTGGGAATCGCCGATTAATTGTGTCTGTGTGTTTTTCCCGGAAAGGGCAAGAGCCCAGGGTTCTCTTTTAGTTGGTAAACCTGTCCCCCGGTGCCAACTTGAGGGAGGCCGGCGAATTTTTTCCCTGATAAATAACGAGGTCGAAGGAGGCCGGCGAATTAAAATTTGAGGATGTCTCGAGCGAAACGCTTGTTTTTGAAATCCCGATCGATAAATCACAGGGTGCGGGCCACTTTTTCGTGTGTTGAGGATGTCTCGAGCGAAACGCTTGCTCCGCAGAGTTTGCCGAGGATGTCTCGAGCGAAACGCTTGTTTTGCAGAGCCGACCGCGACGCGGAAAAGCGCCCCGCGCGAAGGTATTTCGATGATGTCTCGACTAATTCCTTTGTTTTTGTACGATTTCCTGGAATTTTGGCAGGATGTCTCGAGCGAAATGCACGACCCCACCCTAGCACGACCATACCCCAGCACGACCACACCCCAGCACGACAAGACCCCAGCACGACCCCACCCCAGCACGACCCCACCCCAGCACGACCATACCCCAGCACGACCACACCCCAGCACGACCCGACCCCAGCACGACCCTACCCCAGCAAGACCACACCCCAGCACGACCACACACCAGCACGACCTCACCACAGCACGACCACGCCCCAGCACGACCACGCCCCAGCACGACCACGCCCCAGCACGACCACGCCCCAGCACGACCACCCCCCAGCACGACCACCCCCCCAGCACGACACCCCCCAGCACGACCACCCCCCAGCACGACCACACCCCAGCACGACCACTCCCCAGCACGACCACACCCCAGCACGACCACACCCCAGCACGACCACACCCAGTCGCACCCCCACCCCGCACGAGCACACCCAGCACGACCACACCCCAGCATGACACCACACTGACGGCACGAGCCCCCCCCCCCCCCCCCGCACCCCAGCACGACTTACCAAAGCACGAACCACTCCCCAGTAAACGCCACGCCCAGGTCGACCACGCCCCAGCAGAACACTCCACGGCACAGACCATAGCCCAGCACGGTCCACGCCCCACCGCCCCCACCAGCACGACCACCCCCCCTGCACGACCACCCCCCAGCACGACCACCCCCCAGCACGACCACACCCCAGCACGACCACTCCCCAGCACGACCACACCGCCTTGGTTGAGTGGTTGCTGTCGTCGTGGAATGTTTCGTGGGGTGTCTCGTGGAATGTTTCGCGGGGTGTCTCGTGAAATGTTTCGTGAGGTGTCTCGTGGAATGTTTCGTGAGGTGTCTCGTGGGCTGTTTCGTGAGGTGTATCGTGGGATGTTTCGTGAGGTGTTGCCCAGTTGGGTATCATGAAAACGTGTCCATGCTCCACATGTCTATATCCCTTTCCGGGTTCGTGGGTCCATCATGTTTTTCCCGGAAAGGGCATAAGCCCAGGGTTCTCTTTTAGATGGTTTCCCCCCGGGTTTGACGGGAAGAGGGCCGGCGAATTTCTTTTGCGATAAATAACGAGTGGGAAGAGGGCCGGCGAATTTAAATTTGAGGATGTCCCGAGCGAAACGCTTGTTTTTCAGAATTTGTTGAGGATGTCCTGAGCGAAACGCTTGTTTTGTGTTATAGATTGTCCTCTCCTGGGGACCAGAATTTTAGAGGGATTTCTCAGTGAAATGCTTGTTATTTTTTTTTTTAGGTTCACGTGCCCAGGTCTTGAGGATGTCTCGAGCGAGTCGCTTGGTTTCACGCCTCCAGGTTGCCCAGGCAGAGGTCAAGCGCCAGGATTTGTTGAGGATGTCTCGAGCGAGACGCTTGGTTTCACGCGTCCTCGTCGCCCAGGCGGATGTCTAGCATGAGGAGGTGTTGAGGAAGTCTCGATCGAGATGCTTGTTTGCACGTGTCCAGGTTGCCCAGGCGGATGCCTAGCATGAGGATGTGTTGAACATGTCTCGAGAGATACGCTTGTTTGCACGTGTCCAGGTCGCCCAGGCGGATGTCTAACATGAAGATGTGTTGAGGATGTCTCGAGCGAGACGTTTGCTTTCACGTGTACAGGTCGCCAAGGCGGATGTCTAGAATGAGGAGGTGTTGAAAACGTCTCGAGCGAAACGCTTGTTTTCACGTGCCCAGGTCACCCAGGCGGACGTCTCTCATGAAGATGTGTTGAGGATGTCTCGAGCGAACTACTTGTTTTCACGTGTCCAGTTCGCCCAGGCGGATGTCTAGCATGAGAATGTGTTGAGGATGTGTTGAGCGAATCGTTTGTTTTCACGTGTCCAGGTCGCTCAGGCGGATGTCTAGAATGAGGATTTTGACAGGATGTCTCGAGCGAAACGCTTGTCCCCAGCACGTTCCGTAGCGCGTCCCCTTGGCACGTCCCGCGGTGCGTCCCCATGGCACGTCCCCTGGCACGTCGCTTGGCGCGTCCCTTGAGACGTTCCGCGGCGCGTCCTCCTGGCATGTCCCCCTGTCAATTAGCTCTGTGGCAGCTACTATGTGCTTAGGCAGCTCGAGCTTAAGATCCAGATCAGTTCGGTCAGGACTCGGATGCAAAGGAGGACTCGATCCACGACGCTATAGAGCACAACCGCGGCATGGCACTTCGCAATTCAGCACGGTGCAGCACAGCACAGCCCTCGGCAGGGTACATCAAGATCGATAGAACAATCATGCTTTGCAACCTGGCACGTTCCTTGGCACGTTTCGTGGGGCGTCCCTTGGCGAGTCCCCCTGGCACGTCGCGTGGTGCGTCCCCTGGCACATTCCGTGGCACATCCATGGGCACGTTCCGTAGCGCGTCCCCTTGGCACGTCCTACGGTGCGCTCCCACACCATGCCGTCCCCGGGGCTCGTCGCCTGGCGCGTCCCTTGGGACGTTCCGCGTCGCGTCCTCCTGGCATGTCCACCTGTCAATTAGCTCTGGGGCAGCTACTTTGTGCTCAGGCAGCTCGAGCTTAAGATCCAGATCAGTTCGGTCAGGACTCGGATGCAAAGGAGGACTCGATCCACGACGCTATAGAGCACAACCGCGGCAAGGCACATCGCAATTCAGCACGGTGCAGCACAGCACAGCCCTCGGCACAGTACATCAAGATCGATACAATCAGCATTGCACTTGCCCGTCACCCAGTCAGGTGTCTTTGAAAACGTTGCCATGCGTTACATTTCTATATTCCTTTCCCGGAAAGGGCATAAGCCCAGGGTTCTCTTTTAGATGGTTTCCCCCCGGGTTTGACGGGAAGAGGGCCGGCGCATTTCTTTTGCGATAAATAACGAGTGGGAAGAGGGCCGGCGAATTAAAATTTGAGGATGTCTCGAGCGAAACGCTTGTTTCTCAGAATTTGTTGAGGATGTCTCGAGCGAAACGCTTGTTTTGTGTTATATATTGTCTTCTCCCGGGGACCAGAATTTAGAGGATTTCTCAAGTGAAATGCTTGGTTTCACGTGCCCAGGTCTTGAGGATGTCTCGAGCGAGACGCTTGGTTTCACGCCTCCAGGTTGCCCAGGCAGAGGTCAAGCGCCAGGATTTGTTGAGGATGTCTCGAGCGAGACGCTTGGTTTCACGCGTCCTCGTCGCCCAGGCTGATGTCTAGAATGAGGAGGTGTTGAGGAAGTCTCGATCGAGATGCTTGTTTGCACGTGTCAGGTTGCCCAGGCGGATGCCTAGCATGAGGATGTGTTGAAATGTCTCGAGTGAGAGACGCTTGTTTGCACGTGTCCAGGTCGGCCCTGGCGGATGTCTAACATGAAGATGAGTTGAGGATGTCTCGAGCGAGACGTTTGCTTTCACGTGTACAGGTCGCCAAGGCGGATGTCTAGAATGAGGAGGTGTTGAAAACGTCTCGAGCGAAACGCTTGTTTTCACGTGCCCAGGTCACCCAGGCGGACGTCTCACATGAAGATGTGTGAGGATGTCTCGAAGCGAACTACTTGTTTTCACGTGTCCAGTTCGCCCAGGCGGATGTCTAGCATGAGAATGTGTTGAGGATGTGTTGAGCGAAACGTTTGTTTTCACGTGTCCAGGTCGCTCAGGCGGATGTCTAGAATGAGGATTTTGACAGGATGTCTCGAGCGAAACGCTTGTCCCCAGCACGTTCCGTAGCGCGTCCCCTTGGCACGTCCCGCGGTGCGTCCCCATGGCACGTCCCTGGCACGTCGCTGGCGCGTCCCTGGGACGTTCCGCGGCGCGTCCTCCTGGCATGTTCCCCTGTCAATTAGCTCTGGGGCAGCTACTATGTGCTTCAGGCAGCTCGAGCTTAAGATCCAGATCAGTTCGGTCAGGACTCGGATGCAAAGGAGGACTCGATCCACGACGCTATAGAGCACAACCGCGGCATGGCACATCGCAATTCAGCACGGTGCAGCACAACACAGACTTCGGCACGGTACGTC